GGTGAGTGGTTGGTTTCACATCTCCAAGACAGGCAGCTTGATGGCTTAGGTGCTCACAATATACATTATGGAACAGCGTGAATTATGCTCAATCAGTGGTCTAGCCCAGAGGAATTTTAGGAGGCCTATTCAAGGATTTTCCTTGTACTTTATAGTCTCAGAGGTTACCCAAAAATTGTTAACACTAGTCAGGAAAAATTTTCCCAGTTTATTGTATTTTTACGTGCAATCAGAATATGGCCATGCACCTGAGCCAGGCCCTGTGCCCTCTGGGCTCTGACTGACACTCTGTAATTGGATACCTGGTAGACTTGTCTATAAACCGTTTGTGGGATATGAGCTCTAGCTATATCAGTTTGTAGTATCCAAATAGTATGGTCGCCTTTGAATTTGAGCAATAGCATATTTTGTTATTAAAATCAGGTGTTGGAAATACATTTTGCCCCTAGTCTCCATTCAAATCCTTATTTCCGTGAAGAATTCCACTGATTCTCCAGTCCATGAGAGAAGGAAGTTGGCCTCTAAAATTGGAAGGGAAATTTGGATTATTTCCTGGAGTCTCATTTTTCTTCTCTTGGGGGAAGACTCTGTCCACACTCAAGGTTTTAGCATGCAGAACCCCCATCTCTTCCTGAGGGCATTGACTTTGGGAGTCCTAGGAGATTCCGTTTATTTCTCTTGGGTCCGCCCAAAGCAGGTAACCATTCAAATCAAGATGAGAAATTTACAAAGTTTTAAAGCCACTGACTTAACTGTGAAAATTCCCCAGGCAGGCAACACCAGCTATGGAGTACTCTTTCCTGAACAGACTCCTGTTCAAGGCGGCAGGAGCTGATTTCCTCCTGGCCCTAAAAATATAGAGCAAAAAGACAAGAATCCTTCTCTCTTCTTTTTCAGGCACACCTATGAAATATACAAATCTAATATGCCAACACTGCTAATGGTACTGAGTGGTTGCGGACTGAGATGTCATCTTCTAAAATCAAGAAAAACAACTGTAGAATACTATTTCTACAGTTTCTAGAGGCGGGAGTAGATGAATAGTTTTCTGTTTGTGGACAGGTTATGGATCCTTAGAATCCATGGAATTTTTGCATGGAGACTGTGAACCCCTGTGCACTTCAGGTACAATGTGTAGGTTAGATGAATATGGATACATATTATATGGAAGTGGTCATGAGTGTAGGCTCTTGGGCCAGATTTCCATCGAAACTTTTTCACTTAGCAGCTGCATGTTCTTGGACAAGTCACTTAACCTCTCGTTGCTTTAGTTTCCTCATTATTGAACCACGTAAAGTTGGTGGGAGAAGCAAAGTAGGTAAGATGTGTTGCATACTTAGCATTGTACCAGGCCTCGGAAAGAGATCAGTGTTTATCAGATATACACACCATGAGCAGACAGCTATTTGCTCTTTCATTATTTCATATCCAATTTTATACAGACCTTGCCTGATACTGGAAAACAGGAAAAAGCCAGTAGATTGGCTTTTCTTCTGCTTCCCAATTTTGGAGGGCACAAAGGCTCAGACACACTGTGGACTGGTCCTTCCTTTGCCATCATGTCCCAAATCATTGTCAGAAGCCTTTTACTCTGCACATCTGAGAGCAGATGGGCCCTATAGTTCACGTATGGCCAACTCAGTTTCATTTCCTCACCACTACAAAGTGAGGTATAAAGTTTCCAAGAACCAATAACGTCAAAATGTGGGGGCAGACACGCTGTCTATTAGTGTTGAACACATGAATACCCAGCTTCAAAGCTTGTAGTAAGAAGTGAGGTTAAGACACAATGTACTGACCCCAGTGAGCGCATGTTCCGGATACTGACAGGCAGGACACAAGAAGTTAACAGCGTACTCCACCCAGCTAGAGGGTATAAAATTTGGAGAACTTTTTTTTTTAAATGAGATAAAGGATATGTGGCATTTGACTGGTGCATCAACCAGTTATGCCAGTGGGAAGTGGAACTATTGTTTAATCTTTGTGGTTTTTTTTTTTCGTCCCTTCTGAATTCTCCTTTTTTTGGGGGGTACCTGCAGTGTATACTATGGGAATTACGGTATGGTTTACTCTTCCTGATGCTGACGTTGCTGGTTTTGTTACTGTTGTTGTTTTAGGGTTTGGTGGACGGGTGGTTCGGTTTGTTTTTCAAGCTGGAATGAACTGCTTTTGTTGGATCTGCTAACTCTTTGCCATTACTGTTACCCAAACACTAGCTTCTTTTCAGTGCTGGACACTGAAGGAGAAGCTTTAGGATGGTGGAGCAAATGACAGCAGTCTAACTCCAAAGCTTATACCCTCCAAGCTAGGAAACGGTACCTCTCGATGGGTTCCAGTCCGCCTCCTGCTGAAGCAGGAAATGTGTGGACAGTGTGAAGTCTTAGGAGGAAGCTTTAAAATAGACTATTTGAGTCATAGTAAAGTGCTTGTTTCTGAAGGACTAAATTTCCTTGCAGAATCACTGTCCTAGGGGAAAAGAAAATCTGGTAAGTCCCCTGGACAAATTCTCAACCAAGTGGTGAAACAGAATTTATCTTTGTCTCTTTCAGGGTCTCTCGGTATATTCTAATATGTATCGCCCTCCGACAACGCCTTGAAAACTACATTTTCCTCATTTCTGTCTCCTCCTCTCTGCCATCTCCATCGAACAAGTTTTTGCATTCTGTTCTTCATTATGCTCTCTTCTGAGTGACTGTGGCGAGGAGTGAAATCGCGTACGTACATTACCGGGGCACACAATACTGGTTATCAAATGACTCAGTTGAAATGCACGTTTCTAAGAGTCCTTAATAAATAATGGTAATAAAGGAGAGGAAAGATAGGTTAATGGACCATCTTTTACACACCAGATGCTGTCTGTGTAACACGCTTTACACATTTATTATCTCATCAAACCTCATAATAAAGCCACGATCTAGATACCATTATTGTCTCTATTTTACGGGTAAACCTTAATTACACAAATACGAGGAGTATTTGAATTCAGATCTTAAACAACGTACACTTTTCAAAATAACTTGCTTTCTTTGAAGATCTGTCACAAAAAAAAACATTGCGTGACCTGGGCCCAGTCACAATCTTTCTTATCTGAAACTTTTTGTTTGTGAATCTGTAGCCCCATAGGCTCTAATTTCCTAGAAGCTGGAAGCTTTGGTTAGATCGTTCTGTGCAGTGGCTCTATGTTTAATTCGGGTCTAGACTTAATTCAGCCCTCTGGAGGAAAAGCATAGCATGATAGAATGGGGTCTCACTTACTCTGCACTGTCTCTGCCTATTTCAGGGTTTTGGCAAGGACCAAATACTAACACCACATGTGGAAAAAGGTTTGTAAATGGAAAACCACTATAGATATTGACAGGGTTATTATCTCCAGTATCATCATCGACACCAAATCCTGGAAGAAGGTGACCAACCCTGACCTAGAGTTAAAAAACAGAAGAATTAGTCAAAGGGGTCCTGGAGGGAGGAGAACTGATGTGGATTTAAAGGAGAAAGGGTGATCATGCTGGAAGATTAGAAACATAAAAATGCACAAAAGCTGGGAAAGAAAATAAGTTCTATGACCTAGATCCCTGTAAAGTTGTGGTTTAACATCTGCCTTCCTGGGTTGGCCCATCAGGACCACACAGGAGAGAGGGAGTCTCTGAAAAATTTCCTTTTTCGCTTATCAGAGAGTGGATTATCAGGGAAGCAGGTGAAATTTCGTGCATTTGTGGACTAACGGATGAGCAGGAACTTAGGTGACAGGAGGGCTGGTAGCTCTGGAGAACTTCAACAGAATTCCAGTAGTGGCTGGCCGTGCTTGTGGACAGGCATAAACAGCATATCATCAAGAGTGAGTTTTATTCTGGGGTTAGATTTTTAAATGTCTGAATCCCAAATTAGCCATTTACCAGGGAGTGCCCTAAGACAAGTCACTTTACCTCTCTAAGCTCCAGTTTTCCTGTCTATAAAATGTAGATACCAGTGATACCTACTTCATAGGATCACTGTGTGAAATGAATGAAGTATCAGATGTATTCAGCGTAACACCTGGCATTTGTTAGGTGCTGAATGATTAACTGTTGTGGTTTCATTCTGCTTTCCCCTGCATCCCACTTTTCTAAGTTGCAAGCTAAATAGCTGTACATTGACTGACAGTTTCAGAGAGCCCTGTGACTGTGTGCTTAACCCTATGTCTCTCCCCAGCTGGACTCTAGGTGTGTATACAGAGGTGAGCTGGAGAGTGCAGTAAGGGGGTAAATATAAAACTGCCCCACATATATCCAGAAGGAACCCTAATTCAACAAGACAACTGCACCCCAGTGTTCATAGCAGCACTATTTACATGAGCCAAGACATGGAAATAACCTATATGTCCACTGGCAGATGACTGGACAAAGAAGCTGTGGTATATTTATACAATGGAATACTACTCAGCCATAAAACAACAACGTAATACCATTTGCAGCAACATGGATGTCCCTGGAGAGTGTCATTCTAAGTGAAGTTAGCCAAGAAGAGAAAGAAAAATACCATATAAGATCACTTGTATGTGGAATCTAAAAAAAAGAAGACAAATTAACTTAAATATAAAACAGAAACAGACTCAGAGACATAGAATACAAACTTGTGGTTTCCAGGGGGGAAGGGGGTGGGTAGGGACAGACTGGGAGTTCGAGATTTATAGATACTGACAGGTATATAGAGAATAGATAAACAAGTTTACATTGTATAGCACAGGGAAGTACATTCAAGATCTTGTAGTAGCTCACAGTGAAAAATATGAAAATGAATATATGTACACTCACATATGACTGAAAAACTGTGCTGTACACCAGAAACTGACACAACATTGTAAACTGACTGTAACTCAACAAAAAAAAACTGCCCCATTAAGCATCACTCTGAATATTATCTCCAGAGAAGGAAGCAAACCTAAGCATAGCTGATCAGTTAACCAGATACGATACAGAGAACCACGTTTCCTTCTTCTTTTCAGTTTCAAACCTATTCTAAAGCCCTAGCTCTCCAGCCCAGTAGGCACCTGGGAGCCACGGGGAAAATGCCTCCTCCCACGGGAGTCCCTGCCTTGCTGTGGATGGTTTTGCTGCTCTTCTGTAAGTAGAGCTCAGGTACCCCTCCTGGAGGGGGTGGCTGGGGTGGGAATGTGGACAGTTTCAGTGGTGACTTTTTCTAGGCTATGTGCAAACCCTGGGGCATCTCCCAGGGATTCTGTGGTGAAGACAAGCTGGACAGCTGAGGAAATGGGGCTGGGCACCACCTAAGCGGGAAGCCAGACTGAAAGTCCAGTCCTTGCGATCTCTCTGGCATCTCCCAAAGGGTGAGGGAGGAAGGACAGAGAAGAGAGAGAAGCTCCTTGTCTTCCTGGGTCGGACTCCTGAAAAGATGGTTGGCCCTTAAACCTCTGTGGACGTAGACTTCATCATCATACACTGAGCCAAGTCTTCAGCAGTCCCGGAAGGCTGGGGATAGACACTAACTTATCCTCTCTGCACTTTTGCAGCTCCCGATGGCATGTCAGCAGGTGAGTCCCCTGTCCTTATTCCCTCGCATTTCAGTGTGTCTGTGACTGGCTCTCCCTTCACTGTTCCCCTTCATCCATCATCTCTATGTTCTAATGATGATTAATCTGCTCTTCCTTGTCCAACCTGCTTCCCATGTCCACCTTGTCCTGTCTTCCTTCTTTTCCCCGATTCAAAAGCTTCTCACTTATCAGTTCATCCTGTCAAGTCACCCTTGACTCTTTCATGCCTACAGTCATGTCTGTTGAACATCTGGGTCTCAGCCTCTCTTCCAGCCACTCTCACATAACCTCATTCAATTCCTACATCATCAGTACTGTTATTATTATTATTGCCATTTTATTACTGAGGATGCTAGAACCCAGATTAAGTGATTTGCTAAAGTTTACACAGCTAACAAAGAGCTGGATTCTGATATAAGTCCCTTGGATCCAAGTCTAGTTCTCTTTTGAGTGCATCATCTCTTCCTCATCACCATCTTACCACTTCCTAAATTTCTGTTCAAATTTGTACCACATCTCTTTGTTCCTGAAAGCCTTTTAAGACTGATCCTCTTGATGCTTCTCACTACCTCCCAGAATTGACATGTATCTTTCATTCCATATTCACTCGCAATTAAACAGTCATAAAAATTTAGAGCTGGGAGAGACCTTCTATTTCATCTTGTCCAATACCTTTATTCATCCATTATTCACTCATTCATCCACTCAGTAAATATTTAATGAACACTTACTATGTAGTAGTCATTGTGCTGAGCTATGGTTAAACATCACAGACATCATCTCTGCCTGAAAAGAGATTGCAGTCCTCATTTACAGACACTGAAATAGAAATCAAGAGAATTAGAGTGAGCTATGCTACATCACATAGCAAATTTGTTTGTTGTTGTTGTTTTTAATGTCCTGCATTTGTGTCCTATATTTCTCCCTAGCTGGGGGGCTCTCTGGGGCCACAACACCCTTCCTCCTTCCTTTAATCCTAGCAATCAGGACAGTTTCTTATTTAACTGTTTAAGGGTAGGCTGACCACTGATTGTCTGACTATTGGTATGTCTGTACTTTGGAGCCTGGACTGTTTTCAAAGATTTTTCCCCTCTTCTACATCTCTTTTCACAATTTGGTCTTCTCAAAGCCACCTGGAAATCTACAGTGTCCTTGAATCCCCCATGGACTAGAATATTCAGAGGAGAGAATGTGCATCTTACGTGTATGGTGAACAATTCTCTTGAAGATGGCCCCATTACGTGGACCCACAACAAAACCACTTTGCCAAAGACCACTTCAAGTTGGGACATCGTAGATGCAAAAGCCGAGGACGGTGGGCAATACAGATGTAAAAGCCAAACAAGGGCCATAAGTGAACCTGTGTACCTAGAGGTCATCAGTGGTAAGTTCCAGGGCTACATGGAAATACTTTTTGCTCTCCTGTGAGGAATGGCCTGTCTGAAGACAGGGGAGAAAGCAAGTCCTTCCTAGGGTTAAGGCACCACGGTGGGACTCAGGGTCTCTCAAAACCTGTCCATTTCTCTACTTCTGTCTCCACTCCTCCTGCCCACCCTTCTGCCTTCTCTCAATATTCTGGCAATGTCCCAAAGTTATTCCTCTACTCTATTTCTTCTACGTCTGTCTTGTCTACATAGGTGCAGAAGTATGTTTCATTGTTTTATGGTCAAATGGCAGGTTGGAAACGGGAACACTGCAAAGAACCATATATGTGAAATAGCATCAAAAGGTTTGATTTAAAGATTTGCTCTGCAATTCCCCTGTGTAGCGATCTGAATATTAAGTCTTCATTTTGTTTGTTTGTTTTATTTATTTATTTATTTAAATGGAAGTAGAGTCAGTTGCAGGGTGTCAATTTCTGGCGTACAGCACAATGTCCCAGTCATGCGTCCTCTTCATTTCGAAAGACAGCTCTGCACGTTCCTCACGTCCTCTACTTTTCCTTAGGAACAAACCTTACGTTTGCTTCATCTGTACCATTTTCCTACGGCCAACAAGCAACGCCACGTGCTCAGGCACGTGTGGTTTAGTCAGTAAGTGCTGAATGAACGACGTACTGATTTCATGTGAATGACCAGGGCATGTTTATACTTTGCTTTGTATTTTTTCAACATAAATATATTTTAGAGTGTCAACATATTTTGTATTTTTTCTTTGGAGTGAAAAGAGGTGCTTCAACATCCACGTGCAAATTCCAAATACAGACTGAAGCCGTGTAAAACAGTTTCCTTATTTCCTTGGAGCAAATTCTAGAAAAATCCTCCAGGATTGCTCCTAAATAAAACATGCTTGCACAACCTAGCCACATTTCCATTCAGAATTTCCCCTGTGGTGAATGCTTTTCAATTCTTAAAATGACATTAGCCAAACAACCTGACTGTTACATGTTACTGACTCATTACTGACAAGTATTTGCTGAGAACCCACCAATTCCTAGGTATTGTTTTAGATCATATTGGAGATATGATGTAAGGAACAGACATGGCCCTGAACTCTGAAGCATGGAGCCAAATGAGCAAAAGGACATCAAATCAATAATTACAGAAGTAATTCATTAAAATTGTGACACATGTTCTGGGGAAGTTTTGGGGCTGACTATGATAAACAGAAATTAATTAATGGGCAGCCCCTGTGAAGCTAGGACAAAAAAGATACTCTTCTAGGCCAAGACTCCCTAGGCAGAGTAGATTTATTTCCCTCTTAGCGACTAGAACGCAACAATGCAGCTGAAAGGGATGATGGGTTTCAGATCTTCCAAGGATGGGCTCATCAGAAATGTCAGAGATGTTGTGACTCTAGAGTTGTTTTTTAGGAGGAGAGAGGATTTATCGATGTAGAAGACAGGCTCAAAGCATTATTTTGTGTCTCCTTTTTCTTGACCTTATGAGTCCAGAAATGGGTTAATGATAAACAAAGGTTTCTGACACATACTCTATGCATGACCTCTTTTATTTTATTTATCTGTTCATTCATTGTTAAATAACATAATGGATGCTCTTCAGACTGGCTGCTCCTTCAGGCCTCCGCTGAAGTGGTGACGAAGGGTGAGTCCCTCTTGCTCAGGTGCCTCGGCTGGCGGAATCGGGATGTCTACAAGGTGATCTACTACAAGGATGGCGAAGCCCTCCAGTACTGGTATGAGAACTACAACTTCTCCATCGTCAATGCCACAACAGAAGACAGTGGCACCTATTACTGCATGGGCACAGTTTGGAGGATACGCTATATCTCCAATACCCTCAACATTACAGTAAAAGGTGAGCTGGTAAAGGAAAGGGAATGAGTCCATAAGAGGAAAAATAAAGAACATCTGAGCCTAAAGTGATTGCAGCTGTAGACTGGGGGCAGCCGTGATTCCTTGGAAAGTCCACTAGACTTGTAATGAGAAGACCAGGGGTATAGTATATCTCTGTCTTAGATTCCTTATCTGCTCGATGGCAGTAGTACTGCTTGCTCACATTATGGAATTTCTATGAGTATCAAATGTGGTAATATTTGTGAAATGGATTTGTAAACTGTTAAATCCCACCTAAGCAAAGTCATCTGTGGCTCCCCGGGAGAAACATATTTATCAACTTGAAAGGGAGTGTCAAAGTTGAAGGAACAAGGGCTGTAAAGTACTTGAAGAGTCTATTCTAGCCTACGAGGGCTGCAAAGAAACTGACAAGTCAATCGGCTGTGAGCTTGGGCACTGGGAGATGAGAGAGAGGGCTTGGTGGGGGAAGAACAGGCAGGTGGGCTGCCTCGCAGCCAAAGAAAACTGCCCTTTCCAAACTTCAGGTAAAAGACGGAGCCTTTGAAATATCTGCCTCGCAATGAGGAAATGAGACTTTTTGCTTGACAGACTTTGCTTATACTAATATCTAAAAAACCATGAAACCAGAAGCCAGAATTAAGCTCTAATGATAATCCTCCATTAATTAATTTGAGACCCAAGTGCTGTTTAGTCGTTGCTGGACTTCCAGTGTCCTTATCTGCAAAATAAAGCTCTTGGACTAGACTCCATTAGAATCACTGGGGAACTAAATATATAT